GACAGAGAGAGTTGCTCTGATGGTTTAGGGGGGTGAGGATGCCAAGAAGAAGCGGGCGTTGGCCGGGGCTCCTCAGAGTTCAGCATAGTCCGGTTCCAAAGTGGTGGACGAGAAGAGCCAGGGCCGTCAGGTCGTCGTGATAAATTTTCCTGAAGGGTTGACATCCAGTCAAGCTACACAGACCGTGCACCAGCGCAAGATGCCAAACACGTGTATGGTGTCCACGTTGGCAGCAAGGACGATGCAAGCCTTACAAGTGCCAAATCCACAGAACAGGGCCAACATTGCCTAGACAGAATTCCCAACTACCTGCTCAAGTGGAAAATGGCCCATCTTAGGAAGAACTAGAAATTCAGAGAAGGCAACTCCAAGAACAACATTGGCAAACGGAGGTGGAGAGGAAAAGGCCTGAGAGAGAGACTGGAAAGGGAAAGTTTAAAGAGAGACCGGAGGAGCACCTAGAACTGGAGAGCTGCAGGAACGAAAAACACAGGAATGGCTTAATCAAGAGTGGATGAAGCAGCAGGAGCAGCTGGAAAGGGAGCAGTTTGAAAGGGAGGGAGCTCAGAGTGTGGAGCACTGGCCTTGTGTTGGAACCACCTGCACCTCACCCCCCCCACCTCTGCTCCTGCCAGTCCTCCGAGGTTTCAGCCCTCCCTCAGACCCCCAGGCCCTCACCACAGTTATCCCCATGCTATCTTCTGGGTCTCCCACTCACACTCACACTTTTACCCCCTTCTTTCCAGTGAGATACCCCTCCACCAACTCCTCCTGTCCTGTCCCTCCCTAAGGCTGGATTTTTCTCTGGACTCATGTCAGAAGACAGTGGCCCCTTTAACTGGACTTGCACCTGCAACTGCTGGAGCAAAACTTTGGAAAGTATCATGGGTAGAAGATGCCTCTTTCCCTAGTGGAGGGAGTTCCACTGCTGTGAACCTGGCCTCATCCAACGCCAGTCATGGGTCATTGGAATGGACCCCTTCCTCTAGGGACCCGCATCTTAAAGGAAGACCTGAGTGCTTTGCTGGACAGAACTGCTCAAAAAAATCAACAAAAGAAGCAGAACAAAGAGAGGACAAAAGCAAAGATACTGATCCTAGAACACTTACGATCTCTTCAATAGGTACACCTGAACCCATAGGAAGAGCAAAAGCAGTGAATGGGCGGCAAGTGCCGGTTATCTCCAGACCAAAATCCCTACCTTTGTCACTGACCTGTGCCGATGGCACCCAGGCAGAAGGACTCAGCTAAAACAGGCTGAAGCAGGACATTTTTAGATGAAACAAAAGAGCTGACAAATCTAAAAGAAGAGCTTGTTGATGCAATCAGGAAGGAACTGAGAAAGTCAAAGATGGGATAGAAAAGCGAAGGAGAGAGAGAAAGAGAACTTTAATCTGCGGGGGTGGGGGATTAAACAAACAGTCAAAAACTCCCTATGATTCTGCGCCTGTGTGAGAAGAAAATGGAAAAAGAAGTCAGAAGGAGGTAACCATGCTCTGAAAGCCTGCAGACATTGTGACTCTGTGATCATTATTTCTTCCCAGTGGCTGAAGGTAACTAAAACAAAGTCTTTACCACAATGTCTATGCTTATAGATTTTTCCCCCACCATTATGAATTGTTTAAGACTTTGAAGAACACTGGAAAAACTGAGAGCCTAACCACCCTATTTAGAGTCAAAGTTCGTTTTACTACAAGATGAGTTTTTTTTCCCATGGGCTTGATATGAACAAGGACAAATAATGGCCTCTGTACATTCTTTGCATTGATAGGGTTCCCTCCACCACTTGAGTTTGTTGATATACTTGAACTGGAAAAATAAAAGCCTTTTAAAAATCACCTTTTGAGATCTACTGATGTGTAATTTAGTTTACAAGCATGTCTTTGAACACCTGTGAGAGAAACAAATGTTTCACCAGTTTGTTTACATTTATGTAGCTTGTCTGCCTGCTTCTCATACTCATATGGTTTGTATGGAGTGCAATATAATGTACCTACTAAGGGATGACTTGCATGTAAAAACTTTTCCATACATACTACAGTCACATGTTTTTACTCCATTAGGGATTTTCTTGTGCAGATCAAGATGTGGAATCCATTTACACGTTTTACCACAAAAAAAAAAAAATTATAGGGGCTGGGGATTTAGCTCAGTTGTTCGGTGGCCTGCCTTGCAAGCGCAAGGACCTGAGTTCAA